CGCGGGCCATAATCATCTTGAGACAAAATGGCTACGGAGGCGACTCGTGCCTGAGGGGAGGCCCAGTCTGTGGGAACATACGTAAAACACGTGGAATTGGATACACAGAAGAAAGACAATCTGTAGAAACATACGACAAACCACTAAGGACTCGTGCTCCCGGGGAAGCCCAATCTATAGCAGCATACGTACAACACATGGGATTGGAGCCACTCTTGTGGCCTTATGATGCCTCCTGCTCCTGCGGCCTCTTGGGGCCTCCTGGTGCCTTTTGGGGCCTCCTGGAGCCTCCTGGCGTTTCCTGTGACCTCCTGTGCCCTTCTGTGGTTTCCAGTGGCCTCCTGGAGCATCCTGGAGCCTCTTGAGGCCTACTGGAGCTTCCTGGGGCCTCCTGGAGCCTCTTGGGGCATCCTGTGGCCTCTTGAATCTTCCTGTGGCCTCCTGATGCCTCCTGGGACCTCCTGGGGTTTCCTGGAACCTCCTGGGGCCTCGTGTGGTCTCCTGGGGGTTCCTGGGGACGTCCTGGGCAGATGGGACGTGTGGCTGTTCGGCGCAAACTGAACGCCAGTGCCCCACCCCGCTACGCCCTTCCAGAGGGCCGGGGCCGTGCGCTGCGCGGCATTCGGAGACGGCCCCTGCCTCCACGATGGGGCAGGGGCGTGCACGAACGAGGGCTTTGCCGTCGCCCGCGGCCAGAGGAGGGCCTGCCTTTGAGACTCCGGGTTTGGGATCCTGGGCCCGCTGGGGGAGGGGCCGCGCGACGCGCCGGGCTCCTCTGCGCGCGGGACTGCTTGACACTTCGTGCCTTGCTCCCTGCGCCCCAATTCAGGGGGGCGTAAGACCCGGGTACAGGGGACTCGGAAATCCCCGACGAGGTCGTCAAAAAAATGACGAGGCCGAGCCTGCATTTTGACGAGGCCTCCCGCTGCAGACATCCCACGAAACTCCTACTCGTCAAAATCCGAATCGCGGTCGTCAAAAAAGATGGCGAACCCGAGTCCTGGCAAACCCGGGTCTTACGCTCCCCCGACCAATGTACACTGGTTGTGCTGCGATCTGTCGACGCTTGGTTGCTGGCTCCCCTTCCCGGGGGGGGGATCCTGGGCATAAGGCGCGCGGATCCCCGCCGGTGTGGTGCGGCTCGCACAAGGGATGCGGCTGCGGAGGGGGGTGTCCCGTGTTGCGGGGGGGTCGGTTCGTCGTCTTCTTCGTTTTCTTATTCTTCCTCTTATTTTCCTTATTACTATTCTTCTTCATAGTATTATTTTGATTAGTATTATTATTATAATTATTATTGTTCTTCTTATTAGTAATAGTTTTATTATTCTTATTATTATTCGAGGGGCTCGCACAAAGTTGGTTTGTATAGCTTAATTTCCGATGGCAATGAAGAGTGTCCTTTACATGACTTTTCAGTGTGACAACTGGTATCCCTGACTGCGGTTGGCGACTTGGCCACCGCCTTCTACTCGGGAGGAGACTTTCTTCCCCCCTGGCACACAGACGGGGCCCATGACCAGTGCGGCGGCCAGTAGTCTCCTCCTCGGCTGCTGGTCGCCCTGCCTGGCTTTGTTTTGTTGACTCCGGCTAGGCTCTGCGTGGCCGGATTCTTCCACACCTTGAACTACTTTCTCGCGCTTCGCGCGAGGGCGGCGAGGCGTCGTACAGCCTGCTCGCCTTCAACACCTACCTGAGGCTTCCTGGAGACTGCTGGAGCCTCCAGTGGCTGTGGCATCCTGGGGAGGGTCCGTGCTCACGAGTCTGACCACCAAAACAAGCAAACCGATCGAGGCATCCTCAGATTCTGTCCCTGCTTGGGGGCGAACATGCGCACCTCGCTCGAGACACCCTCCAGATCTGCTCCGAAAACGGAGGATTCTGCGCACGCGATCAGGCAAACCGCTCAAAGTATCCCCGCCATTTTGGCGCGAGCGGAGGAGTGAGATACCCCCTCTGGCGGCTCCCCCTTGGGAGTGCTGAAGCCCGCGCCTCGCTCGAAACATCCTGAGAAAATTGCTCCGCCATCATCATCATCATCATCATCATCATCATCATCATCATCATCATCATCATCATCATCATCATCATCATCATCATCATCATCATCATCATCATCATCATCATCATCATCATCATCATCATCATCATCATCATCATCAGCATCAGCATCATCATCATCATCATCATCATCATCATCATCATCATCATCATCATCGTCATCGTCGTCGTCATCATCATCAGCAACAGCAGAATCAGCAGCAGCATCACCCTCATCATCATCACCATCATCATCATCATCATCATCACCATCATCATCATCATCATCATCATCATCATCGTCATCATCGTCGTCATCATCATCGTCGTCGTCATCATCATCATCACCATCATCATCATCATCATCATCATCACCATCATCATCATCATCGTCATCATCGTCATCAGCATCATCATCGTCGTCATCATCATCGTCATCATCATCATCAGCAGCATCATCATCAGCAGCAGCATCAGCATCAGCATCAGCACAGCATCAGCAAAGACGAACAACGTGAAGTTCGTCATCCTGGGTGGTGTCATGAATAAGATCCGCCTAAGAGAAGCCGACCAAAGCCGGGAAGGTGAAACCGGCCAAGACTGTCGTCACGGTTTTCCCGGCGAAGGCATTCAAGGACGAGTTTTTCTGAGGACCTCCCAGTCTGTGGCGAGCGCGCACCTGAGGGCCCTGGGCGGGCTCCCCAGGAGGTGTCCGGCTCCAGACCTCTGCTTAGTGCGACTGTTTGGGACCGTGCGTCCCATTGGGGAGAGGCTGCACCTGCTCGAAACAGGCGCCAAAAAACAGCCAAGATCCACTCCTTGGGGGGGGGGTGCTCGCGCGAGGGGCTTGGCGGGCGCGGGCGCCATCTCTTGCTTGGCATCATCATCACCATCACCATCACCATCGCCATCATCACCATCATCACCATCATCATCATCATCATCATCATCATCATCATCATCATCATCATCATCCTCATCATCACCATCATCATCAGTATCATCATCATCGTCATCGTCATCATCAGCAGCAGAATCAGCATCATCATCAGCAGCATCAGCATCATCATCAGCAGCATCAGCATCATCCTCATCAGCATCAGCATCAGCATCAGCATCAGTAGCAGCATCAACATCACCATCATCGTCATCGGCATCGTCAACATCATCATCATCATTATCATCATCATCAGCAGCAGCAGGATCGTCATCAGCATCGTCATCAGCAGCATCATCATGGCATGCCATAACATAACATTAACATACCATAACATAGAATTGCATGATATACCACAGTGTAGCATGTCATAACATAATATGGCATATCACAACAAACCATCAGATGTAAAGCCATAGCATAGCATACCATAACATGACATAGCATACACGACCGTACCATCACATACCGTACCATGTCGTGAGGAGGATAAGAAAGGTTCTGAAGGAGCTGGTGCGGTCGGAGCAATAACACAAATTATCCCGGCAAAGCAACCTAACAGCGATGTGTAGAAGCATATCTGAAAGCGTTCCCCTTACGATTCAGATGAAAATCCAGTTGTAGAATTCTGCTGTTCTCGCAGTCGTAGTCGCATTCGCGATGACAGTCGCAGCGGCAACGGCAGTCGCAGTCACAGCCTCAGCCTCAGCCTGCCTCAGCCTCAGCCTCAGCCTGCCTCAGCCTCAGCCTCAGCCTCAGCCTCAGCCTGCAGCCTCAGCCTCTGCCTTCAGCCTCAGCCTCAGCCTCCTGCCTCAGCCTCAGCCTCAGCCTCAGCCTCAGCCTCAGCCTCAGCCTCAGCCTCAGCCTCAGCCTCAGCCTCAGGCCAGCCTCAGCCTCAGTCAGCCTGCCTCAGCCTCAGCCTGCCTCCTCAAATGTGGCCCAGGAATGGAGTTCTGGGAACTAGAAGAACACGAAGTGGCCTACAGTTGGCTCCGGGCATTCAAAATCATGCCCAGGAATGGAGTTCTGGGAACTTGAAGAGCACGAAGTGGCCTACAGTTGGCTCCGGGCATCCAAAATGTGGCCCGGGAATGGAGTTCTGGGAAATCGAAGAGCACGAAGTGGCCTACAGTTGGCTCCGGGCATCCAAAATGTGGCCCGGGAATGGAGTTCTGGGAAGTCGAAGAGCACGAAGTGGCCTACAGTTGGCTCCGGGCATCCAAAATGTGGCCCGGGAATGGAGTTCTGGGAGCACCAAGAGCGATTTTGCGAGGATGTCCCAAGCGATTTCGGCTTCGGCGGCAGCCGCGGCGGCAGCCTGTCCGGGTCCCGCCCAGACCCCCCTGAGGAGTCATGATGCTCTCTCTTGAGACCACTAGAAACCTATCAGCAAAAGCTGTTAGGTAAAAACATCCTTTGGATATGGGAAACCAGAACCCATCCTTTGGAGATAGGGGAATTACAATACATAACATGGCATGAGGCGGAGGATGAGGAGGAGACGGAGTTGGCGCGGTCGGAGTAATAACACGAACCCCATCCTTTTGAAAAGGCAAAGCAATAACCCAATCGTTTTGGTATGGGGATGAGATCACATACCATGACATAACATAGCATAGCATAACATATCGTAAAATAACATGGGGAAGAGGAGAGGGAGAGGAAGAGGAAGGAGAAGGAGTTGGCGCGGTCGGACAAGTAACAGGAACCCCGTTCTCTGGATATGGGGAACAAAAGACAGAAGCAGCACATCGACTGTTGGAGCAGGAGGGCGCTGGAAGTGGATGGGGATCTGGGGGCCCAGAGACATCTGCCTTCGGCGACCGACGGGCACGGCTGGCGCGCCCTCAGATCCTTGAAGGGGCCCCAGGACACACACAAACAAATACACACAAACAAAAACATCCCCATACTTCCCCATATGTTCTGGGTTTCTGTCTTCCCCCCCCACGTCCCATGTTTTCCCATATTTCCTGCGGAATCGAAGATTGATTGTGTCTCTGTGTGTTTTTCCCTCTCCGGAATCCTGCCCGCGCCCGCCTGGGGGCCGAGGGGGCCCCCGCTGGCCGCGCTTGACGTGCTGCCGCTGGTTGGCCGAGAGGGAGCTCGCGCGGCACGCGAGGACCGCCCCGGCCGCGACGACGAGCGCCGCGAAGACGACGAGCTCCGTGGAGGCCCGGGGCTCCGCCTCGGCCGGCCGAGGAGGGCCCGCCGCCCGCCCAGTGAGGGGGGGGGGTCCAGGCTGAAGTCGGGCCTGTCCCCCTGCAGGGGGATTGTCGACGAAAGGTTAAAAAGATACCCCAAAAATAGTCAAAAGATATTCCAAACATAGTCCGGGGACTATTTGTTGAATACTTTTTGGCCTTTTTGGGGCATTTGGGGGGTATTTCTTATTTTTCGTCGAAAATCCCCCTGCAGGGGGACACGCCCAGCAGAAGTCTAGGATTCCAGGTGGGCCTCGCGCGCGCCCGCGGAGCGGCGCGAGGTCCAAGAGGAAGAAACAAGACTCGCCGATCAAGAGGACGACGACAAGCGACGAGCGACGACGGCGAGGACGACAAACGACGACGGCGACGGCGGCGACGGCGGCGGACGAGCGATACGCAGCAGCGCGAACGACGACGCCGGAGGTGGCGGCAGCCGCTGGCGCCCGGGGGGGGAAGGCGGGCTGGAGCCCAGCGTGCCCCATGGTGGAGGCGGGCCAGGTCGGGCGCGGCCGAGTCAGGCGAGGCGGGGACGTAGCGGCAACAGGTGAAGGCGGGCCAGGTCGGGCGGGCAAGGCGAGGCGGGGACTTCTCTGCAACCAGCGCCTGGGGGGTGGATCTGCTCCTCCTCCTCCTCCTCCTCCTCCTCCTCCTCCTCCTCCTCCTCCTCCTCCTCCTCCTCCAACTCCTCCTCCTCCTCCTCCTCCTCCCTCCTCCTCCTCCTCCTCCTCCTCCTCCTCCTCCTCCTCCTCCTCCTCCTCCTCCTCCTCCTCCTCCTCCTCCTCCTCCTCCTCCTCCTCCTCCTCCTCCTGCTCCTGCTCCTGCTCCTGCTCCTGCTCCTGCTCCTCCTTCCCACCCTTCGGGGACCTCGGCAGGTGGTGGACCTGGATGCCTCTGCCCTCCCCCCACGGGCCCGAGTCTGTCCATGTCCACCGACTGCAGAGGCCCCCGCAGATCGATCGCCCAGGCGTCGGTGATGGGGCTGAGCTCTGGCGTCGGACAGCAGGCCCTTTCGGTGACGGGAGGGGGCGGGGCTCTCAGAGGGCCCGCAGGTCCCCAGGCCTTCTGAGAGGTCCTCCGAGCCTTCCCCGAAGACTTTTTTGGTCTGCGGGTCGAGAGCGGGCCTCTTCCGGTTCAGAGCCAGGCGGGGCGCGCAAAGCACTAATTGGGGAGACAGGGCGCGGGCGGGCGGGGCCTCAGGCGGCCGGAGGGCGCGGGGTGGTTTCCCCGAAGACACAGACAGGCTCTCAAAGGCGCGAGAGGGCTTCCGAGGAGCCCCGCCGCCCTCTGCGAAGGCCGTCGCCTTCTCGCATCCCCCTCCCCGCCCAAGCGCCCCCTTCCTCGGAGCGAGGCGCGGGGAAGGTCGTCACGGAAGGGGTCGGGCTGCCAGGGGCTGGCCTGAGGTCGGGAGGTCCCCCTACAGGCGGATTTCGGACGAACAAAACAAAATTACTCCCAAAATGCAACGAATGGTCAGAAATACGATAAAAAAAACTAACTATGTTTGCACTATTTGTTGATGTTCCTCCTGTAGAGGGACGTGCCCGACGTTAGGCTGGCCAGGCCATCCTGGAGCAGGGCCTCTGCCACTGGGCGGGGGCCTCGCTCGAGCACCCGCCCGCTGGGCCTCCTGGGCGGGTGGGGTGGAGAGGGGACAGAGGCGCTCCCCTCGCTGCCCTCGACTAGCCAACGTTCTCATGTTCGGCGTTTCGACAATTGGGCGGAAGGGGTGACGAACCAACAACACACACCCATTCATATCCATAGAGGGGGTTCGGAGAGGGCTATGGGCGCGTGTTGTCGGATGGGGGTCCCCGCTCGAACGGGAGCGTTCCCCAGGGTCCGACAACCCGCACCCATACCCACAGCCAGTCCTCCTCCCAACGGCCCCCCTATGGGTATGGGTGTGTGTTGTCCGTTCGTCAAGAGGGGGGGTCTGGCTCCGGACCTCCGCTTCGGGGATGGACAGGACCCCCTTCAGCAAGCCGCGGTGTAGGACTCTCTACCAGGCCACGCTAACCCAACCTGAAGACCCGAATTTGACCCGAGCTTCGGGTTGGGGGCGGTGCAGGTTCTATGTGTTTTTCTATATTCTCCGACCCCTCCCCCCCCTGGAAATCGAGGGTAAAGTTGGGCCTTGGGGTTGGGTTGGGGTGGCTTGGTGGGTGGTGACTTCAGTGAAAACGACCTCGGGCCAAAACCTGGCGGGCGCAAGCCTGAAAAATGACGGCCGCGGCGCCCTCTCGAGAACCGAAAACGGACAATTCACGAATTAACATGTCAGGGTGGGGGTTCTGTCCACCCCCGACTGCTTAGTGCGACTGTTTGCAACAGTGTGTCCTATGGGGGAGAGACTCCACCTGCTTGAAGCAGGCGCCGAAAATAGCCAAGATCCACTCCAGGGCAAAACAATGAAAAAGAAAACGATCACCTACAGTAGGGGCCCGACCACAAGAAACCTTCCACAATAAACTCAACCCTGAGATCCCAGGAAGTCCATTCATTTTTGGCGTGGGAACGTCATGCCTTCCACAGCAAAACCGTCGAAGCCCAAGAAACCCAGGGCACCCTGGAGGCAAGCAAGGTGCTTCTTGGCATGAATCTCCACTGTAAGACGAAGCCAGGACGAGGACAAATCCGGGTAAGAATATATCGGGAATCTCTGAGCTCTGGCAACTCTGGAGGATGTCTCGGGCGCCGCGGCCCTCTCAGAGCGTTCCAGAACGCTCTGAGAGCGTCCCGAAAATTCTGGGACGGATTATCCTCGTCCTAGCCCCGTCCGACAACCTCCGCACACACGAACGTGGATGACAGATCCGTGGATCTGGCGCGTGGGCGCCAAATCCACATATCCGGGAAAGTACCCCCCAGAAGACAAAGCCAATGCCGCCTGTTTTGGCGACGGGGCACGTCGATGTCTTATGGAAGCGGGGCCCGACGCTAACCAACGCGCCTTCCCTGACATCCGACGTAGTGGAAAGAATGTAACATCATGAAAAATCACGACCACAGCCCCAGACCCCATCTGCCAGCCCCATTTCTCGAGCCGGATCGATCTGTGAGGTTCCCGGGGCCCGAACCCGAACGAAAACGCCGGACACGAGCAGCTGTGGACGCCAGGATCTCGGGGTGTACCCATGTTTGCGCTTCCTCAACCAGGTGGCCCTCACCCCGCGTTTCCCTCGGTCACCCCCGCAGTGGGGCTCCGTTCGTCTGGCCGCGTCCACCTCCATGCGGCCCCACTGCTCCCCGTCCGCGTCGACCTCCTCCTCCTCCAGCGAGTCCTCGCGGGTGCACAGCTCCTCCGCCCTCCTGGGGCAATTCGCGGGCGCGACCCCCAGGCGCTTCCCCGCTATGTCGAAGATGACGTCCCGGTGGACCATCCACGAGGCTCCGAGCACCGTCTGCGGGAGGGCGTTCCGCAGGAAGGCCTGGCACCACACCTCTGAGGCGGCAGAATCAGAGCTGTCCTTCGCCCCTGGTGGGAGGCCATCACTCGGTGCCACATCTGTGCTCCCGCTCACTCCTGAAGAAAGGGAAGGAAAGGGAGTGGAGACAGAGGCAGCACATTGTCATATAGAAGCGAGGTCTTCCAGAGAGAGCGCGATCCACCGCCGCTTTGCTGTGGAAAACTCCCCCCCCCTCTTCCTCCGGAACCCGGGGTTCCCCCCCCTCCGAAAATCACCCCCCCGCTGGAACCCCTCCCCCCCCTCCCCCCGGCAACCCCCCCCCCCTTCATAAAACCGGGGGGGGGGTCACTACCGGTTCGAACCCCCCCTCCCCCTCCAGAAAACCCGGGTGGGTTCACTACTGGTTCGAATCCCCCGCCCCCACGAAAACTGGGGGGGGTCTCTACCGGTTCGAACCCCCCCTCCTCGAAAACCGGGGGGGTCACTACCGGCTCGAACCATCTCCCCCCAACTCACCGCTGGCAAACGACTCCCGGGTCCCCACCAGCGTCCGCACCACATCCCCCACTGCTGTCCCCAGCACCACTGTCCTCACCACCACTCTCCCCGCTGTTCCCACCACCGTCCCAACTGTCCCCAACAGTGCCCCCACCACTGTCACACTGTCCTGTCCCCACTGTCCCCACCACTGTTCCCACCACGGTCCAAATCTCCCCACGTTCCCCAAGGTCACCACCACTGTCCCACTGTCCCCACTGTCCCCACCGTCCCACTTTCCCCGACGCTGTCCCACTGAGCTGTCCCAGTGTTCCCACCACTGTCCCCACTGTCCCAACCACTGTCCCCACTATACATGTGTCCTATTGTCCCACCACCGTCCTCGCCACCGCCCTCACCACTGACCCAACCACCACTGACCCAACCACATTCCCACCGTCCCACTGTCACCACTGTTCCCACCACTGCCTCACTGCCCCCACTGTCCCCACCGCTGTCCCACTGTGCTGTCCCACTGTCCCCACTGTCCCCACCACTCTCCTCACTGTACTACTGTCCCACCACCGTCCTCATCACCACCTTCACCACTGTCCCCACCACTACCGTCCCCACCACTGCCCCACTGTCCCCACCACTGTCCCGCTGTCCCCTCACCCGTCCCCACCACCACCGTCCCCACCACTGTCCGCACCACTTTCCCACTGTCCCCGCACCACTGTCCCCACCACCACAGTTCCCACCACTGTCCAGTATCAGCAAACGACTTCCGGGTCCCCACCACCGTCCGCACCACATCCCCCACTGCTGTCCCCGCTGTTCCCACCACCATCCCCACTGTCCCCAACAGTGCCCCCACCACTGTCCCACTGTCCCCACTGTCCCCACTGTCCCACTTTCCCCCGCCGCTGTCCCACTGAGCTGTCCCAGTGTCCCCACCACTGTCCCCACTGTCCCAACCACTGTCCCCACTGTACCTGTGTCCCATTGTCCCACCACCGTCCTCGCCACCGCCCTCACCACTGACCCCACCACCACTGTCCCAACCACATTCCCACTGTCCCACTGTCTCCACTGTTCCCACCACTGTCCCACTGTCCCCACCGCTGCCCCACTGTGCTGTCCCACTGTCCCAACTGTCCCCACCACTGTCCCACTGTCCCCACTGTCCCCACTGTCCCCACCACACTCCCCACTGCACTACTGTCCCACCACCGTCCTCACCACCGCCTTCACCACTGTCCCCACCACTACCGTCCCCACAACTGCGCCACTGCCCCCACAACTGTCCCACTGTCCCCACTGTCCAACTGTCCCACTGTCCCCACCACATTCCCACTGTCCACACACCACTCTCCCCACCACTATCGTCCCCACCACTGTCCCAGTCCCCACCACTGTCCCACTGTCCCCACTGTTACCACCATTGTCCCCGCTCCGCTGTCCCCACCAGTGCCCCACCAGTGTGTCACTGCCCTCACTCTCCCCGCCATTGTCCCACCACGGTCCCTCTCTCCCCACTTTCCCCACCGTCACCCACCAGTGTCCCACTCTCCCCACTGTTCCCACCACTGACCCACTATCCCCACTGTCCCCGCCGCTGTCCCACTGCTGTGTTGTCCCACTGTCCCCACTGTCCCCACCACTGTCCCACTGTCCCCACTGTCCCCACCACTCTCCCCACTGTGCTACTGTCCCACCACCGTCCTCACCACCGCCTCCACCACTGTTCCCACCACTGCCCCACTGTCCCCACCACTGTCCCGCTGCCCCCTCACCCCTGTCCCCACCACCACTGTCCCCACCACCACCGTCCCCACCACTGTCCGCACCACTGTCCCACTGTCCCCGCACCACTGTCCCCACCACCACCGTTCCCACCACTGTCCAGAATCCCCACCACTGTCCAACTGTCCCGAGGAGCGGGAATTGTTTGCCAGCGGCGAGGGGGGGGTTCGAACCGGTAGTGACCCACCCGGTTTTCAAGTGGGGGGGGGTCGAACCGGTAGTGACCCCCCCCCCTTTTCATGATGGACTGGGGGGGGAAGGAGGAAGGGGTTCGAACCGGCGGTGACCCCCCCGGTTTTCGAGGGGGGGGGGGACGGGTTAGGAACCCCCAGTGACACCCCCCCGGTTTTCCGCCAGCAGCGGTAGAACACGCTCTTTCAGATCACCTACCTTGTCGCATCGCGCCCCGCGATGCGCGACGCGCGAGGCGCGGTGATCTTCGTGCCCTCGGGGGCGACCTGGGGTCTCCTGCAGTCGGGCTGCTGGAATAAGGAACGCAAAGTAAGGAACGAAGTTCTCTCTGGCGACGGAAACGCCTCGCGCACGAGGAGGGCTAGAGGAACAGCCACGGAAGGACCCGAGGAACCTCGAGCACCTTCCGAACCCCAACTGTTCCTTGTTCCTTGCTTCAACGACTTTTGACTGCACCTCCTCCGCGTCGTTTGAGGTCGGGCATGTCCTCCTACAGGCCGACTTTACGAAACATAAAAAATGCCCCCCCCCCCCCCCAAAAAAAAAACACTCCAAAATGATCAAACACATAATAGGAAAATCGCCCCCAGGCTATGTCTTAACTAGTTGTGCACATCCCTCCAGTAGAGGGGCAGGCCCGACTTCAGCGTCGTTCCGTCTGATGGGCCTGCTTTCCACCACCACCACCACCACCACCACAAGTTGGAGGGGGGAATGAGGAGGAGGAGGAGGGGAGGAGGAGGAGGAGGAGGAGGAGGAGGAGGACCCCCTACCCCCCAACTTCTGGTGGTGGTGGTGGACAACAGGCCCATCACCGTTGGCGTCCGCGGGGGCCGGCCTGCCCCTCGCCGCCGCGGTGGTACAGGTAGCCGTCGGGGGGCCACCTGACGCTCACGGGCGCGCCGTGCAGGCCTGGCGGGGGGCTCCTCCTCCTCCTCCTCCTCCCTCCTCCTCCTCCTCCTCCTCCTCCTCCTCCTCCTCCTCCTCGCCCTCCTCCTCCTCTCCTCCTCCTCCTCCTCCTCCCTCCTCCGCCTCCTCCTTCTCCTCCTCCTCCTCCTCCTCCTCCTCCTCCTCCTCCCGGCTGGCACAGGGGGGGATGCCTCGACCAGGAGCCGGCGACACACACCGCCCACTAGATCGGCAATACAGTCAACCAACATAGTAAGGATGTGCGATAAGGACGCAAGGGCCTTGGACGCCCATTTCGAAGCTTGTCGGGCGGGGCGCGGCCAGCGAAAGCGGCGAAGGATGGACCGAGGAGGCAAGGATGCCAGGGTACCCTTGGGAAGGGTGCCCATCCTTGCTATGCGGGTTGACAGTAGGCCTCCGGCAGTGCATCCGCACCTTCCTGGGCAGGCTGGGGCTGTCGGGCCCCCGTCGGCGATCAGTGGGCGACTGGAAGTCGATGCATCCACCCCTATGCCTATCCTTCGGTCGGGCATGTCCTCCTGCAGGCGGGTGTGTTGTAGGAAAAAATAGGCACTTGACCAAACATAGGCATGACTAGTCAGAGATAGGCAAAAAAGCACCGCCTCCGGACTGTTAGTTATATATCACTTTGGAATACTCCTCCTGTACAGGGACACGCCCGACTTGAGCCTATCCCCCCCCCCTGTCGTTGCCCCCCGGAGGCCCTCGAACTCGAGGTGGATGGTCGGGAACTTGTCGGGCTTCCTGGTGTAGCGCCCGAGGCGCCAGCAGATGGGGTCCGCGCCTCGCTCGGGGCCCGCCCCAACCCCCTGCTGCCGAGGCCTCCGACACAGGGTTGCGGATGCCATGGCAATGGGCACCCCAGCAATCCTGTCATCGAATTGCAAGAAAAGTGCTGGACGTGTCTAGGAGGTGCTCCAAAAATGTTTCGAGCCATGCTGTGTTCTACATGCTTACGGCATGCTTGACACATGCTTTGCTGGCAAGCATGTGGCAACATGCTTCCTCCCCACTGGTCGTCGTCCACGGACACAGGGAGAGGTGGGCGGAGCTAGGCAACCAAAACGTACCGATGCAGCAACTCCCCGGGGTGCGTTCTGGCCAGAATTTGAGGGCGGATGCAGCCGAGTGCCACGAGTGCAGGATAGCGGCGTCGGGATCTTCCTCCCTTGCCGGAAAAGCATCCCTGGATCGATTCCCGCCCCCCGGGGGGCAAACGCCCGTAGACCGCCCGTCGCGCGGCCCCCCAGGAGAATCTGAGCTGGAGCAGTGGTGAGTGGTGACCCCGGGCGCAGATCCGCGCCTTCCCTCCAGGCATCGCAGTTGTGGAGGCCGCAGTGCTCGTAGATCGACTTCACGATCCTCTCGAACACTCTCTCGGGGAAGTACGTGTACGTGGTGCCACTGCTGACGGCCACTTCGGCGTCCGCGTCCGTGGTGGGCATCGAGTGCGCGCCGACCCGCAGACTGACCAGGGACACATTGTAGTAGCGGTCCGCCTTCATCCGCAGCCAAGTTACAGAGCCACCCTCGGCAGCTGTGTGGTACTGCCTGTTGGTTCCACCGAACGTGAGAACGCCGCCGTCCTCTGCCAGGCACATGGAGAAGAGCCCGGGGTTTACGCTTCTCCAGTCTCTGAACATGTCCTGCAAGACTCCCGTGGACTCATTGCCGGCCGGCGGTGCAAGGCCCAGGATGCCGCTGACCTCCCACTCTCTCAAGAAGGGTGAGCCTCCTCCTCCTCCTCCTCCTCCTCCTCCTCCTCCTCCTCCTCCTCCTCCTCCTCCTGATCCTCCTACCTCCTCCTCCTCCTCCTCCTCCTCCTCTCCTCCTCCCTCCTCCTCCTCCTCCTCGGAAAGACGGGAGGAAGAGAGGAGAGACGGGGCAGGGGCGGGCCGGCGGGTGGAGGAGCGGCAGGATGAGCGGAGGGGGGGGGGGCGGGGGAGACGGGCAGGGGCGGGGGCAGGGGAAGGCGAGGGGGAAGGCACTGAAGGGGCCCTGGGACACACAAACAAATACACACAAATATGAATATCCCCCATGTTGTCCTATATTACCTAACAGCGAAGACTGATAGGTTTCTAGTTGACTCAAAAGAGCTCACAGATCACTCCACAGGGGGGTCCGGGCAGGTGTTGGGGAGTTGCCGGGCGGCAGGGTGCCGGGCTCGTTTTTCACCAACAGTCGCACACTTCGTGCTCTTCGACTTCCCAGAACTCCATTCCCAGGCCACATTCTGAATACCCGGATGCAACAGTCACACACTTCGTGCTCTTCGAGATCCCAGAACGCCATTCCCGGGCCACATTTAAAATAACCGGATGCAACAGTCACACACTTCGTGCTCTTCGACATCCCAGAACGCCATTCCCGGGCTACATTTTGGATGCCCGGATGCAACAGTCACACACTTCGTGCTCTTCGAGTTCCCAGAATTCCATTCCCGGGCCACATTCTGGATGCCCGGAGCCAACTGTAGGCCACTTCCTGGTCTTCGAGTTCCCAGAACTCCATTCCCGGGCCACATTTTGAATAGCCAGACGCTTCAGGCATTGCTAGTGACACTGCAGTCCGCTGCATTCAATCGTGCCACTGCATTCACTCACTGCAGGAGGAGGAGGAGGAGGAGGAGGAGGAGGAGGAGGAGGAGGAGGAGGAGGAGGAGGAGGAG